CCATTTTACTGCATGTTATTAAAATATATTCTTCATTTCTCCCATCAAATCCATAAAACCAGCCCAATCCTCGCCATCACTTCTCTCTCCTCTCCCTAGCCCGCTTCTTACTCCCCGCCCGCTCTTTCATCTTCGTAAACTTCCGTTCGGTCTTATTCTCATACCAGAAATTCCTCTTCATCTCTTTTTTCTTCTTCAACCGCTCCGCACTATCATCATTCATCTTCATATTCTTGTTCTTCGGATTTGTCTTGTTCCAGAGTCGTTTCTGTGGCTTCGAGCCGTCTTCCCCCTCTTCTCCATGACCATTTTGCTCGTGATCATTCTCCTTTCCCCCACCCCGCTCATCTTCCTGTTCCTCATCATCCTTCCTCCACAACCCTTTCCGCGACGTATCAAACTCCTCCACTGTAACAGTCGTATATTTATCCTCATCGATATATTCCTTGTCATAATCAACTGGTGAAGGGTCAGCAATTCCATCCCACTCTTCATCCTCCCCTTCACCCTTTCCACCCTCTTCACTTCCAAAATCGCTATTTATTTCCCGCATCAGAGCTTTATTCTCCGCAATGGCCCGTTCGACCTCCGTGCGTCGTTCTTCTCGTATCTATTTCCCGATAGAAACAAGAGATATATTAGCAACTTGACAACACCATATGAATAACATGGCATAGAGTCGCAAGGAATAAGAAAATTTATATACACACCCTCCGCCTCTGCTCCCTCTTCTCCTCCTTCGCCCTTTTCTCCGCATTCTCCTGCGCATGCTTAGCGCGTTGCACTTTGCGCTTGTGAAAGCCTGTGAGATACACCTGTCGCGCACTGGGATTAAAGAGAATTTCCTGTACCGCATTGGTACTAGAAGAAGCGAGCTTGCATTTTCTGAAATTTGAAGGCATTTTTGCCTTTTCTTTATATTAGTTGGAGGTGTTGAGGAGGGGAGCTGTGTGTTTTTCAGTCTGTTGTCACTAATAAATAAAAATCAATGATGATATGAATAGTAATTAAAAATTAATTGAATGAGACTATCCTCTGTGAACTCACCTTGTTTGATGGTTCCTCTAAAATTGAAGTTGAATCTGCAAAAGGTTGTTGTCAGAGGCAGAAGAGCCACTTCAGTGCCAAGCCCTGAGACCATCAGGAATATGTAGCACCTTTTGGTTGATACTTGATGACTAATATAATATCATAGTTAACTAATGTAATCCACAAGCGAGCGGGCCACCCAAGCGAGCGGGCCACCAAATTCAAAATCCTTCTACTTTAACTACTCAACCACTTGAACGCGTGATTATGCCACCAATTCGCAAAAAAAAAGCAAGAGACTCTATAGAGATAGAGGGAAGACTTGAACTCGCGATATCTGCTATTAAAAAGCAAGAAATAACCTCAATTCGTGAAGCTGCACGTCATTTCAATGTGTCACGTACAACTCTAGGTTATCGACTGAGCGGTCGACCTGCACGAGTGAATTTACGCGCAAATTCAATCAAATTGACTGAAGCTGAAGAGAATCTGCTAGTTGAATGGGTGCTAGATCTAGCTAAACGAGGATTACCCCCCCGGCCGGTGTTTGTTGAGAATATGGCTAATCATCTTCTTACCCTTCGCTCTACACCAACCACACCCTCCCACGTTGGCAAGAACTGGGTGTCAAACCTGATTACACGCCGTACGGAGCTTCAATGCCGCTATTCCAGACGCTGTAACCATGAACGAGCAAAATGTGAGGATAGGAAGGTTATTCAGGAGTGGTTTAAGATTCTAGGGGATACAATTGCTGAGCATGGGATCCTGGCTGAGGATATCTACAACTTTGATGAGACTGGATTTGCAATGGGCCTCTGCGCAACAACTAAGGTCATTACCAGTGCTGAGCGCTACGGCCGGGCAAAGCTTCTACAGGCTGGAAATCGTGAATGGGTCACCACGATCGAGTCAGTCAACGCGTCAGGATGGGCCCTACCCCCCTACATTATCCTTAAGGGTCAGAATCTACAGGAAGGCTGGTTCGATGGGCTTCCAGATGGCTGGAGACTTGATGTTAGCTCTAATGGCTGGACCACAGATGAGATAGGAATCAGATGGCTTACTAGGCTGTTTATTCCAGCTGTAAATCCACGCAGGGTTGGCACTCATCTACTTCTTATCCTGGACGGGCACGGCAGCCATCTTACCCCTGAATTTGACCATATCTGCAAGGAGAATAGGATTATTCCATTGTGCATGCCTGCACATTCATCCCATCTCTTGCAGCCTCTAGATGTGAGCGTTTTTGCGGTGTTAAAGCGGGCCTATGGGGGTCTGGTTGAACAGCGAATGCGGCTTGGATTCAACACCATCAAGAAGGGAGACTTCCTAGATGCCTATCCTGCAGCCCGCGCAGAGGCCTTCAAGTCTCAGAATATTCAAAGTGGCTTTATAGCTACTGGAATAACCCCATTTGATCCAGATCAAGTTCTTCAACAACTCAACATTCAGCTCCGAACCCCTACCCCCCCAGCCAGCCAATCTAGCAACTCAGGGTCATCCTGGATCCTACAAACACCTAGCAACCCGCGTCAGTTGCATAGACAGGTGAATAAGGTCAAGAATCTCATGGGGGAGAGGCTTGAGAGCTCACCTCAGGGCTTGGTGGAAGGATTTGACCAAATTATCAAGGCCTGCGAATACGGGATGGTCAGTGCCACCATTATGAAGAAGCAATACCAGGATATATTCAATGCCAATGAGAAAGAGAAGCAAAAACGCAAGAGATCTAATCGCAGAATTACACGCGAAGGAGGCCTAACTAGGGAAGAGGCTCAGAATCTTATTATTCCACCTGTTGAGCCTGCTGAACAGCCCGTCATTCAACCCCCTGATCCTGCTGCTCCAGAGCCAGCACCATGTTCACGGGCGCCACCAACATGTTCAAACTGCCATATTGTAGGGCATACAAGAAGAAGCTGCCCTAGTCCTATTGTACTATAATTTAATTTAATTAGGGGTTGTTGAGTGTGAGTATTTTGGGTTAAAATCTACTTAATTACTATACGGTGATTTTGGTGGCCCGCTCGCTTGGGTGGCCCGCTCGCTTGTGGATTACGTTAACTAACTAATGTATTTCCCAAGTGAGCACAAACACCCAAGTGAGTGTAACATCAATTTAAAATATCTTTAATTTAACTACTCTTCCACTTCAATGCACAATTATGCCATCAATTCACAATAAAAATGCTTCAGATTCCCTAGAAAGAGAGAGAAATCTTGAACTCATGATAAAAGCTTTTAAAAATCAAGAAATTACTTTAATTTATGAAATTTTTTATATTTTTTGATAAAATCTTATACTCAGTAATTATATTCTTTAAGATTTTAAATCAAGTCTGAATAATCTTAACATACTTATAGTTAATTTGATTATAATTATAGTATATAAAATAATAAGTTTAGAGCTTAGAATAATATATCACTAGATCTGATATGCAGTTTTTATCAATATAGAATAAGATTAATGATAAAGATGATAATATTCTATAAATAAAATGATAACTAACTTTATTCTCAATAAATATAAGCTGTGAAAGAAATACTTATTTAATTTGATTCAGTATTTATTCAACTAGTCTATTCTTTTCAATCTAAATTAATTTTATTAAATTTGTATATAGATTCATATAAGTAGTATGATTATTGAGTTGTTAATTTAAAATAGAGAATAATATATTAAATATATATGAAGCTTCATAAATTGAGAATATTTCTTATATTTTTAAAGTATTTATTGTAAGTTTAAATTTTCTCTCTTTTTCAAGAAATTTTAAAGTATTTTTATTGCAAATTAATAACATAATTATATATTAAAATAAATGAATAGTTAAATAAAAAGATATTTTAATATAGTGATCTATTCACTTGAGTAATCTACTCACTTGAAAATTATATTAACAATAAACTCATATACTTATAGAGTTTTATTTCAGAATAATATAATATTTAATAATTTTTTAATAAAAAATATATTTATAATTTCAATTTTAATTCAGGTTTTTTTTTTAATTTAAAGTAAATATCTTCTCATATGATAATATAAATAAATCAAAATATTATAAAATAATATAAATTAATATAATTACAAAAGTAAATGAAATAAAATAATAAATTAATATAAAAGATATTTTAATAAAAGTATTATTAATAATATATTTTTAACTTTTATAAATTAAATATTAAATTTATTTAAAATTAAAATTTTTTCTTTAAAGATAATTTTTACTTTCTTTAAAAATTTAATTAAAAACTTTTTTTAATTCAATATTAAATAAAAAGATTATATTTAATTGATCAATTGAGTATTTTTCTTTTATTTTTTTTCTTTTATAAAATAGTTTTTAACAAGTATTATTCTAATATATATATAAAGTAATAATTTATAAGCTTATTTTATATATTACTACTCAAATTTCAAAATGCAATCTTGAAAGATATAGAATAATATGACAACAAAACTGTTGAAATATTTATTTATTCAATGAGAGATTATTTCAACTTTTATTTTTTATTATTTTTAACTTTTTTGCTCTGAATTATCTAAAAATGAAAAACTTATTTCTTTTTATTAAAAGAATATTATTGATCATATATATTCTCAGTACATGATTTTTCTTATTTTCTTCTATTCTTTAAATTTTAAATATATTTTATAATATTTTACTTATAAGAATGAATATAGAAACTTATATAGTCAATATAGACAATGAATATGAAATTTTATCTAACTTATTATAAAACTGCTATAAAATACAAAACTCTATATCTGAATTAATAAGATTCAATATTATTATTACTTTTATTAGATGTTTTTAAAATATACTCTAACCTCTAGCTATTTATTACTTTAAAGATAAAGTTCTTTTGATGAGTTTCTTAATCAATCAGCTTTTTTCAAGTTGTGTACAATAGAGAAAAAAGTAATAAAATAAGTATCATATTGATATATTATTAAAGATTCTGAAAAATTTCATAAACTTCACTATAAAATTTATCTTGAACATAAAGTATGAGTACAAGAGTATGAATCATGTCTTAGAAGTTTTTAAGCTATGAGTGAATATCTTAATTAAGTTTTAGAAAAAGAGTTTAAATAAATATAAGTTAGATATTTATATAAGTTAAATTATTAAGTAACTAACTAACTAATTAAAAATTAAGATGGAGTAAAATAATAATACTTGAGCTATGTACTTAAGAAGAGAGTAAATAATAAGATGAAGTAAATATATTATATTGTCAGATATTAATCTTTGATAACAAAGCTATTTCAAAAACACTAGTTCTCATCATACTAATACTTCAATTGTTATTATCTAATTATAATATAATCAATAACTGAGCAAATCATATAAGTGAGTAAATCACTTTCATTCTTCATATAATGAGAAATACTCTCATCAAAAATGTCAATCACACAAAGAAATAAAGTCTCTACTCAGGAAGAAAGACTTTTTTTAGACATTCAAACACTTAAAAATGATCAAATTTCAAGTATACAAGCTGCAGCAAAGCTATATGAAGTCTCTTATGCAACTTTAACTCATTGCATATATAATCATATAGCATGTGTTGACACACTTTCAAAGAACTGAAAACTTAATCTTACAGAGAAAGAATCTTTTGCTCAATAAATTTTAATTATGAATGAGTAAGATCAGTCTTTCTGAGTTGCATCTATATGAAAAATGATTAATCTTCTTCTTGTCAGTTGAGAATTCAATCTCCCACTCACAGTGAGTGAATACTGAGTATGAAACTTTATCAATTATTATAATAAGCTGAAATTCAGATTCTTATACAAGTACAATTATCAGCAGACTCTATATGAGAATTCTGAAATTATTTACCAGTGATTTAGACTTATATAAAACACTATTTGTGAAGTACAAAATTCTGAAAGATGATATTTACAATTTTGATAAAACAGAGTTTTAGATGAACGTAATTGAGACTATCAAAGTGATAACTGAATCTGAAAGAGCTGAGAATTTAAAGCTTATACAGTCTGAAAATCAGAAATGAGTGATTGTTATTACTGAAGTCAATACAACTGACTGAGTCTTACATATAATAATTATTCTTAAAAAAAAAAAATATATCAATTCTGCTGATATGAGACAGAAGGACTACCATACAACTGAATGATTGAAGTTAGTAAAAATGACTGAATTACTGATCAGCTGAACTTGTACTGACTGAAAAAGATATTCAACAAGAAGATTCTACTCTGTACAAAGAGTAGATATTTACTGTTGATTTTAAACTGACATTAAAATCATATTTCAGCTGAATTTGATCAATTTTGCACTAAGAATCAAATTGTTATTCTCTACATGTTATCACATTTCTTTCATCTTCTTCAGTCATTGAATATTGACTGCTTCTCATCTTTGAAAACTGCATATGAACAGCAGATGGAAAATCATATGCAGTTTAAAATTAATTATATTGACAAGAAGAAATTTTCAAGTCTCTATTCTGCAGTTTAGATGCAGACTCTGACTGAGAATAACATCAAAAGCAACTTTAGAGCTACTGAACTGATTTTATATAATTATGAGCAGGTTTTCTCACAGCTTAATATCATGATGCATATTCTCACATTCTTAGAGACATCTTACAGCTCTCAGACCTTCTGAGTAACAGTTACATCACATAATATACATCAATTGAAGCAGTAGACTGAGAAAGTTAAAGAATATATTAAACACTGTATACAGAGTTCACTTAGTTCAATCAATCATGCTCTAAGTCAGCTGGTCAAGAAATGTCAAATGACAATGCACAGTACTGCTATTCTAGCAGCTGAAAACAGAGAATTAAGAGCTAAAAATGCCAAATAAAAGAGAAAGTAAGAAAGAGGCTGTACATATGTAGCTCAAGAGAGTGCTTTGAGAATTGAAGAAGGCTTGAATTGTGTATAAAGAATCAATAGATAAGAGCAGAGATGGTTGAGACTACTGAGTTATGATCACAAAAACATGCAGCACCACAGTGTAGTATCTGTGAGATTATTGAGCATACTGTCTGTACATGCTCTAAGTGTATAGAAAATAATTTATAATGTAATTTGCTAGTTTTTCTTTATAGTTGAGGCTTTGAAGACATTCTCTTTGTATAGAAGGTGGGAAGTGGTTCACTTGCTTATATGGTTCACTCACTTATTGATTACATTATGAAACTGTCACTTATATAAGACCTTCTCCTTTTTTTGCTTTTTTCTTCTTCTTTTGTCAGGAACAGAGTGATTCAGTTTCCCAATATATAAATGTGGTTCAACCTCCCATACAACTTAGTTAGAGAGAGGGGAACAACAAAAGGGTGGGAGGAGGGGAAGGGGACAGCAGCATGCAAATGGCATTCTTAACTAACTTCCATAGCTTACATTTCTTTCATACATGTGTTATGCAGCCAAGATAGTTAGGAGAACCACAACATTGGTGGAATATCACTCTATAAAACTTTCTTCTGGCTTTCTATCCGCTGAGGCGAGGTTGGTCGCTGAATGGAGCTTTTCTCTTGTTTCAAAGCTAAATACTGGTTTGTGTCTGCATAAACCCCTGGACCCTGATCAAGGTTGCGTGTGGGTTGCTTCGTAGGCCACCGTAGATGTCTTTTTTGCGAAATGATCTCTAGCTGATACATCCACACATGTGCGGGAGGGGAAGATAGAGAGATTTATGTAATCAAAGAGTCAATGGCAATGTCGCAGCCATTGAGCATGAATATTTTGATATTTTGATGCACAATAAATAGAATGATTAACTCCTGGAGGGGCTGTGAGAGGATATAATAGCACCGAAATTTAGCCAGAGTGTATTCAAACAATGTGCCCATATTATTATAATTATGTTGTCAGGGACTCTTTTTTAAAAGGACTCTGGAAGATTAGTTACTCTAACAGACCATTATTTAGGCGCGCTGCCACAGCTGTTAGCGCTTTAATTCAGGGCGAGTGATTCCAACGTCCAGGGGCTGCCGATGATGCTGCCCATGTCCCAGGCAGAAAGAGCTACATACCTTCTGCCTAGAGGAGCTTTTATTAAGGGGTATATTCAGCTTTCATTCTCTATCGAATTCTAAACAACATATTCATTCAATATTGACAAAATAAAAATAATCTCCACTGTGACTTCAATTGACTTGGGGATATCTATATACTGTTTTCGGTGTTGAGGAGTTGACTATACCGCCACAGCCAAAAGCTCTCCTCCTTAACTCCACACCACCTCGCATCGTTCTCGACTACACACCCTCAACACTTTATCTTTTGTTTCTTCAACCTCTGACCATACCCATCAGCCTCCACCGTCTCATTATTCTTTATATACATCTTATTGTCTCTGACTCACCGGTCCCATCTCACTCCCCTCTGTCAGCCCTTCACTACACTACCTCACTGGCCCTGTCCTGTTGAACCATCTCGTTTGTTGTACCCCAACGTCAACATAACTCCATCCCAACTCCTCTCTTGTCCGCCCTCTATAAACCGCAGTAATATCCCCCCTCAACCATTACCACCCTCAAACACCGTTCTCTCGTGTTACTACCTGCCCAGAGCCAGCCAGGGAATTCCATTTTTTCACTGCGAATAAGAATTGCGTATGTTGCCTCCCTCAGTTCCCTCACACACTCTCGAAACGCCCGTGGTCCCCATCCTTTCATTGCTGTCGCGCATCAAATTCACGGCTACAGACAGCCTCTTGTTTGAGTGAAGTAACGGGTCCTGTTCATGAATAATCTAATCTATCCACTTGCTTTTGTGTTTTTGTTTTACTAGCATCATATACTGTTCGCCTGAGACCCAGACACCTACGACAAGGCTGACCTTGCATTCTTTTCTTCCCTTGAGTTCTGTTTCGCGTCATTTATGTTTGTACTTCAAATCTCTTTTGCATCGCAAACTAATTCCTCGTCGTACATCCAATAGCTTTGTGTGACATATCCTTCTCTGTCTATCTTCATATCCGACTCTTTCGAAAGCCCTCGAATGCGCTCGTTTCTCTGTAATTAGCCTTATCAAACACCATTTCCACGATCCTACGAGGGTTGTGCAGTGGCTGTAAATTAATTCAACCGATTCACTTTGCAGCCGGCATTTGACGTGCGGCCCGCTTGGGGGAAATCTCACACAGGTTCACCTAGGGTTTGCCTGCGTTGTAGTGCTCTCCAATTGAGGGCGTTGGTGGGAGAAAAAGGTAGGGGAACCAGCTGTGGCGTCTTTAAAGACCTAAAACGTCAGAAGCCCTTTTTCTATTTATTCCTCATTTTACGATTTTATCTTCCACATATACATATGGGATGAAGGATGGACGGGATAGGTGTGTATACACATTTATTCCATGCCATCATTCTCTTTGGACTACGAAATCTCTCCATTTGCGTCAGATAAGATTTCCTGCAAACATGACTAATTCACACAGTTCGCAGCGAGGGAGCCCGTCTTCACAGTCCTCTCTACCAGCTGTGCTGATTTACTCTCGCTTACCGTTCTCCAACTTTCCTCAATCCTACGGATTCCCTCAAGGGAAGGCTCAAAAGTTCTTCTTTTCCGACCACGTTTCCACCACTCACACGAAGCCTGCACGTAAAAACAACACTCCCTTCATAACGATGCCGAAAAAACCTTTTCAAGCTCCCCCCTTACAGCTGGGGTCATCTAACTTCAATGAACCCTCTCACGACAACTCACCTTTGAGCCCGAACGCTTTGAGCCCATTAAGCCCCACGTCTCCTAGGTCTCCTGCCTTGCAATTTCCCAAAGGTTCTACCATCCAGCCATTGACGGGGAAGAAGTCACCCGCTCCCCAATCACCTTGCCTGTCCACTTGTGAAGCAAATAACGAAGTGCAACTAACTCTAGGTATAACTGCAATGCCGCCATTTTTACCCTCTCCCAATGAAACTACGAAGCATGGGCGAGACCCGTCGAGGTCGTTCTTCTCCAACCTCAAGGCATCGAAGTCAAGTCATCGACTTCAATCTTCGGATGGTTACGAAAAGCCTCCGGCTGATACGCTCCCCTCAAGTCGAGGTAGTTCAAAAGATAGGGCGGCAACTGTATCAAGTCGAGGTTGGAATGGCTCCTCATCAGATCTTCCAGAACTATCTGGACGGGTTGAAAGAGCAAACGGTGAGAAAAATTTTCCATTTTCTATTCTAGGGGAAAACAAAAAATATCTAAAAATATAAAAATATAAAAATATAAAAATAAAAAATATAAAATATAAAAAATTATGTCATCTAACACTGAGGCATGTTTAGGCAACCGGAGTGACGACCAAGCCTCAAGCAAGCAAAGCGTGGCCGAAGGTCCTTGTTTAGCCAACAAAAAGAGTAAACCTCGCTTTGCTAATATTCTTACCCGAACACGATCCATTAGAGTCGACGATTCCTCCGCGCCTGGCAAAAACTATTCCCCCCAACGGCGACCATCAAATGGATTACTACGGCTAGAGGAAATAAGCAACAGCAATAAAGATTCCCAACCACCTTTGAAAACCGCCCCGTTGCAGCCAGACAAAATGTTCAAGGACGTGATGGGCTCCTCGGTTAGGAATCGATCGGTTGATCGCGCAGCTGATGATGTCCTTGCTAAAAGCCAACGTGGAGCCCATGGGGGGTCAATGGCTCCTTCGTCATCATTGAGTCAAGTTTCTGGCGCTTCGTTATTTAACAATCTGAAACAATCGTCCAGTGGCGCGGCTGACCGTCTGGGAAAGGCTGGGAAAGGATTTTTCGGTAAAATCACAAGAAGTGGGAGCAGTAACGAGCGTGAGCTGGCTACTGATGACACATATACTTGCCGTATCATCAACCTCCCCCTCGTTGAACAAACTCGCCGGACGAGGATATCGAAAAGATTGGAAGCATCAAAGGATAAAACTGAGTATTGGATGCCTGCCCTCCCCTGGAGATGTATTGAGTATGTGATTTCTCGAATTCCTTGCCAATTATTTTCTCTAACGCCGCTTTTACCTTGCAGTTATCTAAATTTTAAGGGCTGTGAGGAAGAAGGCCTTTATCGGGTTCCAGGGAGTGGAAAGGATGTTAAACATTGGCAAAGGCGGTTCGATTCAGGTACAATGTTTTATCCAATATGCTAAGCCCTTTAGGTGATCTTATATAAGCTAATTAATATATTTTTATAGAACTCGACATTAATTTGTTTGACGAACCCGACCTGTATGATATCAACACAATCGGATCGATGTTTAAGGCGTGGCTCCGCGAGCTACCTGACGAAATTTTCCCCAAGGCCACGCAGGCAATGATCGCAGAAAAATGTATGGGCGCCACTACGGCTCCACAACTTTTGAAGGACGAATTATCCAAACTGCCCCCATTCAACTATTATCTTCTCTTCGCCATAACCTGTCACCTGAGCCTTCTCCATTCCTACGTCGACAAAAACAAAATGGATTACCGCAATCTATGCATATGCTTCCAACCCTGTATGAAAATCGACGGTTTTTGCTTTCAATTCCTAGTCTGCGATTGGAAAAATTGCTGGCAAGGCTGTTGGACAGAAAAGGAGTTTCTGGAAATCGAGCTGGAGGCGGAAAGACAGGCGACAGAAGGTGGTCATAGCGCTGTCATTGAGGATAGAGTGGTGTCTTCATCTGGAAGTAGCCAGGATCCGAATATGAATCCGGTTTCCAATTCCAATGACGTTCGGACACAGACATCCAGCCCCTCAACGAGTCCGAGGAGGGGGCGAAAACCCACGCCGCTTAACATTAACGGCTCACATTCGTCCCAGCTTCCTGAGCTTGGTCCTCCCTTATCACCCATCAAAATTTAGGTTAAAAGAAAAGAAAATAAAAGAAAGAAAAAAATAAAAAAGTGAACTTGGAAACTTCACGTTTGTTCGGTTGGGGTTTGCTTAATCCCTAGCTTTTGGGATGTATGGGGAGCTCCTCGGCTGAAACACCTCGTCTGGGAATAGAATTGGGTTTGGGGAAATAGTTTGGTCACTTCTTGGATATCAGAATAATCCATCTCGAGGGATAGAATTGATCTAAGGATACACTTTTTTGTTCTACTGAAGCATTGTCAGCCTACATCAGCTTGTCGAGGTTTACTACCTGAACTCCCGGGAAAGGCCTAGGGGTTAGAGAATATAATGTTGTTCATCAGTTATGAACATCATTCAAAACATGACATTCTAGCAGTCTTTGCGCAACAACCTCCATACTCACTAGCTACATGGCCTACTTCACAAGCGCAGCAGCATACTCAGGTATTTTGATACCTTGTGGTTGTATTTCTTCCATGTAATTTCTTGGAGACCCTGGCATTTTTCATTTCGCCCCGTTCTATTGCAAATTTCCTGCTATCTTGATTTTACGCACTGGGACCGTTGCTGGTGCGTTCCTTCTACTTTTTCTTTTCAATTTCTTTCTTAATTAAGTCTTTGCATTAATCTTTATCACTACCTCCATCCTTTTTCCATCATGCCCAAAGAATTCTCTGGCGCAACAGCAAGTTTTTGATCCCGGCTTTTACCTATCACTTCTATCTGAGAAAAGTTCACCATTGTCATATTTTTTTTAATTAAATTTTTATTTTAATTTTTTACCTGCTGTTTTCTGTTCTCGACTGTTCTTACACTGGCTTTAAATTTATTCTTGTGTTAGCATCTTCTCTTGCATCATCTTCTCTTGCTTTTTCTACTTTTTCCACAACTCTTATCTTTATCTACTTGAGCGTTCTTGGTTATAATGCTTGGTTTTCATTGTATGATAGATCACAGGGCAAGTCTTGGATTTAGCTCTTCATTTACGCACTGTCTCTAAGGTTAACAATTTCTTACCATGACTGTTAAGGTGATGGTTCAATCAATCATTAATTAAAGCGGATAATGGTGACCCTCACGAAGAACATAACCCCACTGTAGCTGATATAAACGCAGATGACGATACAGACACCCAGCACACGCATTAAACGCCAAGTTAAAAATATTAAAAACGATCCCAGCCTATGCAATTCCATTTTGTCATACGATATCCATTCGATAGTCCACCACTCCTTATTAAGGAGACATATATCTTTCTCCCCACTTGTTCAACAGATCACCCTTGCCCCTTCCCGGCTCTCCTCTCATTGGCCCTCATCCGCCTCTCATTCCTCCTAATCCTCTCAAGCCTCTCCCGTCTTCCTTCCCCTCTAATTCCCTTTCCTTCCGCGCTCAGCCCTTCCTCCTTCTTCCACATCTTCTCATCAACCTCAACAAGCCACTGGTTATCAGCCTGCTTGTTCTTCCCTTTATAACCCCACTTCGGTACCCACTCCCCACTCTGCTCATCGTATACCGATTTCTTCCTCCGTTCGGTCTCCGCACTCCCACCCCCAGAACCAAGCTTCTTACTATATTTCCCTATACCCTTCTTGCGCGCAAAGAGTTCCCACTTCGTCGGGAGTTTGGGTGTGGGAAGAGATTTGAAGCGTGGCAGATGGGTATTGCATGGGGGTAGAGTAAGGAGGATGCCATCGCGCGGTGTTGTGGTTATGGGGCAGGTTGTTAGGAGTTGGTTGAGAAGACATTGGGCGCCATCGCGGGCTGTGCTGGTAAGGGCAGCGTTTAGGGAGGCGTTTTTTGTGTCATTGGAGGTTGAGGATATGCTGGGGAGAGAGATTGGATTTGGGTCAAGGGCTAGAAGATGCCCCAGGTCAAAAATATATGGCATGGGCTTTTCAACTGTTATTGGCCTGTGCTTGGTTAGTATTTTTGGCATTCTTTTTTATATATTTTATGAAATTGGCAAAACTCGGAATTGTCTGCTAATAATATAAGATAAAAGAGAAATTGGTTGGGTGCTTCTTTATTTTATCCTGGATTTGGACTTTAAAACTTTGAAACTGGGATATTCTCTGATCTATCTGATATGGACATGCACAGGAATCAATCAAGTATAAACATACAATCTTTCAGGTTTTGGCTTCGCTTCAGCTTTCGGGACAGAATTCGCCATATCTGCAACTGACACGACGGCAGAGTAACGACGGAGGTTGTTTGATCCCCAAACTTTCGTTTCCAAAAAAAAAAGAAGGGGAAGTTGGTTAAATGATAACTTACTAATCGTGCCGCTTCGCAACCACACCACCACACCAAAATGATAAAAACACCAAAATGATAAAAATCTTGCAATTTCAATATCTTTATCATCTTCATCAATTAATAACTCACCACAATGTCAAATAAGAATAAAAATATTGAAGACTGTATTCAAAAAGCTGTCACTTATCATCAAAAAAACTCAAATTTCAAAATACTGTCTCTGTTATGAGAATTTGAGGTTTCTTATCAATGTCTCTGAGTGCATATTAATGGAAGGAATCTGAATACTGCAAAGATTTCAGTTAACAAAAGATTAAATGAGAGTCAGAAGAATGTGATTAAATGTTGAGTCAAGCTGCTTGATGAAAAGAATTGTTCTTTTGCAGCTGAACATATTGAAGATTTCATAAATTCAATACTCAGATATCAGCATATAGATTCTACTATTTCTTCTTCAAAAGTCAATAAAATGTGAACTTATAGATTTATTAAACATCTATCTGAGCATAAGAGAGTGAAACAAAAGTCAATAAATTTTTAAAAAAAAACAATTAAAGATATTAAATATATCAATATATAATTAAAATGTCTTCAGATTCTATTTTAACAGTATCAATTCCACATCTATGACACATACAACTTCAATAAGATTGAATTTTAAAAAGAACAAGAACATGAAGGATGAGTTATAACTGCTTTTAAAAAAGTTAATTTCATTATTTTTTTATTCTTTTCAAGAGATTTGATTATACTTATTGAATATGAATTTATGAGTAATCATATTATTTTATTATTAATAATTCTAATCTTCAAAACATGTTAAAAGATTTGACATAGAATTGCTATATCAAATACTGAATTTATAAATGATGAGATTGAATTTAAATAGCTTAAATATTTCAATATTATTATAGAAAAGAGATAAAAGAGAAGTCATCAATTATTTTTAATAAATAATTATGAATTTAATATCATTAAGAAGTTTATACAATATGTAGATCATTATCAGATAATTATATATAAGATTTCATGATATATTACTTATTTGCTATAATTTTTGAATAGTTTATCATTACAGAAATAAAATTATTATCATTTAAAAGTATTTAATTATGCTATATGCTATAATTTTATTAAGTATGAAAAATAGCAGTTTCTACAAAGTCTCTTAGCTGTTAGGCTCAGCGCCCGGCCGAGCCCGACCGAGGCTCGGTGCCCGGTTAGACTCGACGTTGGATTAAGCTCGGTGCCCAGTTAGGCCAAATATTCTCATGTGATCAAACAACCATGTGGGTGGTTATAACCTGGGCAGGCCCCAGCACCTCCTTTCATTCCATCAAGCTTAGTATTTCATTATATAGCAGTTAGCAACACAGAGAGTTTCCTTCTTATGCAGCTCACATTCACTTCCTAACATAATACTAAGCTTCATCCTATCTCTTCTACTCAGAATTGAGTAGAACCTGCTCAGCAAGAATCTGACAGCACAACATACAACAGCAACTCACCTCATCCCCTCTAGCCACCAGAGAGACTCAGACCAGAATGGCCACCCCAGACTTCCAGCCTTCTGAAAAGATCAAGAGGGACTGGTGATATGTTCTAACTAGGCCAACTGATCAATCACAGATCTCACTTGAAGAATTCAGACAGACAATTCACTCAGATAAGAATCATGTCTACAAAGAGTTAGCAGCAATCTTTGACAGCATCTTTGATGATGAAAAAATATTGAGAGATACAATCACATGTCTGAGGATGGAATGGAACAATGCCACTGACCAGACTGCTGTCAAGCAAAGTCAGATTGATGAGCTAATTGCTGAATGCAATGAACTTAGCCACACTCTGATCTGCATGACAGTCAGCAATCAAGCAGCAAGTTGAGAAGTCACCCCCTCTGAGACTATCTGAAGATCTGTCAAGATTGATGACCCAAAACACCTCACTGACAGCAAGAAGTCAAAATTTGAGCACTGACTCTCCCAGATGAAGAACAAGCTCTGGGAGAACACTGACCACTACTCTACTGAATGCATGAGGATTGCATACATCAAAAACCAGACTGATGGAAATGCAGCACATCACATTGCACTCTGTATGAAAGAGAACCACCCTGAGCAATACCAGACTGCAGAAGAGATATTTGAGCATCTTAAGTCAATATATAAGAATGCTAACAAGCTGCAAAATGCCAAGAGTGATTATCACAAGCTGATTATGTGCAATGAGAACAATTATCATGAATTTATCACAAAATTCTTACATCTGGCAGATGAGGTCAAGATTGTCAAAGAGGACTACAAGACAGACTTCAATGACAAGCTGTTCTTTGATCTTCAGAGAACAGTGACAGTAGTCAATGCAATCATCAATACATATGCTGAGTTTCAGAAGATCTGTGCTCAGACAGCTCACATCCTCCAGACAATCAATGTCACTCAGAAGTCAAAGAGCTTGTGAAGAAATGAGTCTAATATCTTCAAGCAAAACACCTCACAGACCTCTGACAGTCAAACTTCCCACAGCACCTCAGCCACAAAATCCTCTATCATAAAGAAAGCCTTGAGTGCTCATTCAGATATTCAGTGCTACTACTGCAAGAAGAAAGATCATATTGTCAGAAACTGCTCTGTGAAGCAGAAGTCTCAACAGATGATCACTGAGCTCACAGAGAATGACACTTCTGAGCCTTCAGCAGATTCAGAAAAAGAGTGAGTCTGAGAGAAGACTTCACCTCAGATAGTTCAATAGTCTGTAAGAGGTTTGAGATGAAGGACTTGATTGAGAGAAAGAGTTTTAATGTCTCAATTAAGTTAGTCCACAATGAAATTGCTACTTCTACAAATTCTCTTGCTGATACTGAAGCAAATGATGTGAATTTTATTGATATCTGATACATTATAGAATTGATGAGATTCTTCAATAGAAAGTTTCAGAAACTTCCATTTAAATGCCACATGAAGGGATACAATGATGCCTCTGGTGGGGTGATAGACTGCACATTGACCCTAAACCTCTGGGTGAATGGCTGGAGATTCCGGAATGTTCCTCTGCTGGTGATGAACCTAGGCCAGTACTCTGTCATCCTGGGATGAAAGTGGTTGGCAGCACAGGATATATGGCTTGATGTTAAAAACCAACATCTGGTTTGACCAAGTGAACAGTCTATCCCTGAACAGATGGTGGAGCTGATGCTGAAGATGGTGCCTCAATCAATACTGAAGCATTCAGACTCTAAGTCTGAGCATCAGACAGATGCAAAATGAAGAGAGATCAAACTGGACAAGAAGATCAGACAGAAGCATCAGGTTCAGCTCTGCAGATTGAAAGGAACCAGCTCAGCCATGACATCTAAAACAAGACAGAGACTGACCTGGGAGGAGACAGCACCACAGATGATGGATATGAACTTCATTGAGACTGCTTCTTTCCACAGTTATATGAAGAACAAGAACTTGACAGTCTTCATAATCAGTCTGTATGAAATTGATAAACAGCTCAAGAAGAAGTGGAGTTTAGTGAGAGCTGAGAAGAAGTCTGATGAGGAGCTGATCAGCAACTTATCAGAATGATTGAAAGATCAGAAGAACTGTTTCTCAAAGAAAGCATCAGATGAATTACCTCCTCTACAGAAGAATGTTGATTTTAAGATAGAGCTCCAGTCTGACACTGACCTCATTTGAGACATTGAACATGCGCCTCTATATAAGATGAATCTGGAGGAACTAGAAGCAGTGAAGACCTATCTCAAAACCAACCTAGCAAAGAACTTTGTCATTTCAAGTTCAGCTCTCTACACCTCCTCAATTCTGATTGCTTGTAGTGGGAAGAAGCTACAATTCTGTGTTGACTTTCACAAGCTGAATGCTATGATCAAATGAGATCAGTATCTCTTGCCTCTAATAGATGAGCTGATGAACTGACTCAACAGAGTAAAATACTTTACAAAGCTGGACATTCAGCAGAGGTTCCATCACATCTGAATGGACTCTAAGTCAGAGGACCTGACCATCTTTAGAACCCACTACAGGATCTATAAATACCAGGTGGTCCCCTTCAGCCTTACAAATGCCCCTGTCTGCTTTCAACAGTTTGTCAACAGTATCTTCTTTGACTATCTGGACAAGTTCATGACAGCATTCATGGATGACCTTCTAATCTACAGCAGAACTCTTGAAGAACACAAGCAGCAAGTGAATCTGATACTGAACTGATTAAAGACAGCAGGCTTGCAAGCTAGCATTCAGAAATGCAAGTTTGCTGTTCAGAGAACAAGATATCTGAGGTTTATCATTATCACAGAGGGGATTGAGACAGACTCTGAGAAGACTGCTGTCATCACAAAGTGACAGATCTCAATCACAGTAAAAGATGTTCAATCATTTCTAGAATTTGACAACTTCTATCAGTGATTTATAAGAAACTATAGCTGAATTGCAAAATCACTATACCAGTTGACAAAGATGACAGTTCCATTTGTGTGGATATCAGAATGTCAATCAGTCTTTGAGAAACTGAAGAAGCAGCTGGTGGAGGCTCCAACTCTACATTACTTCAACTCTGGACACAAAACCCACATTGAGACTGATGTCTCAGATGGAGTGATGGCTGGGATACTGAGTCAAAGATTAGATGATAATCTTTGACACTCTGTGGTCTTCTACTTCAAGTCAATGAATGATGCAGAGCTCAACTATGAGATCCATGACAAGAAAATGCTTGTAGTCATTCAAGCATTGCAGAAGTGATGAGCTGAGCTTGAGGAACTACAACAGAAAGAATGATTCAAGGTTCTCACTGATCATCATGCACTGGAATACTTCATGACAATCAAGAAGCTGAATACATATCAGATCCACTGAGCAGAATTTCTTTCTCATTTCTATTTTGAGATCAAGTATTGACCAGGTAAGGTCAATCTGCTAGCAGACATGCTGAGCAGATCTGAGCAGATTAAGAAGCAACAGAACAGCTATATGCAAATTCTTCTAGAATCAGAGATTCTTGACTCTCAGATCACTTCCTCTATGAATATTGCTAGCATCAACTCCTCAGAGGAAGAGAACATTGCTGAATGCATAGTGTTTTTAAACAAGACAGTCATCTCAATTGAGCCCCTGCAGCAGCAAGTAGGAAAGAAGAATAGCCTCTATACAATGAAGGATAATATGTTGCTCTACCATGGAAGATTGATAGTGTCTGTTCAGGAAGAAACTCTTATAGCTGCTCTGCTAAAGAAAATTCATGATCAGACCTCAACAGCACACCCAGGGGAATGGAAGACCCTGGCCCTGGTTCACCCCCACTATTGATGAACCACCTGGTGGGTGGATGTCTTATGCTATGTTCAGAACTGTCATACATGCTGAGTTAGTAAGATCTCAAGAAACAAAGCCTCTGGCCTGCTAAAGCCACTATCAATACCAGAATGAGCATGGCAGCATATTGCAATGAACTTCATGAATGTGTCAAAGAGCAAAAGTGGCTGTGATGCCATTCTAGTTATAGTCTGCTGCTTAAGCAAGAAGGCAATTTCAGTTCCTACCACTCATGAAGTTACAGCCTGTGAGCTGGCTTGATTATTCATCTGATTCTACTATTTCTATAATGAGGCACCAGACTTGATTGTCTCTGACTGCAGCCCTCAGTTCATATCAAACTTCTGAAATGAGTTCACAGAAATTCTAGACATAAAGTTGAAACTCTCAACAGCACATCACACACAGACAGATGAGCAGACAGAGACAACAAATCAGTATATTGTCACACATCTTCACTCATATGTTAATTACTATCAAAATGACTGAAATGAGTGATTACTCATTATAGATTATGCTTCTGCAGTCACTTCAAACATCTTCACTAGAATCTCCCTCTTTCTAGCTGCAAATGAATATGAGTCATGAACATCATTTGACTGAAGATCTTTGTTAAGAGAACTAAGGACAGAGAAGAGGACAAATTGAAGAGCTGCTCAAAACTTTGTTAAACAGATGAAAGAGATCTGAGAATGAGCAGACAAGAGCATGAAGACAGCACAGGAACAGATGAAGAGGCAGACTGACAGACATCATTGAGAACCTGACTTCACAGTGAGAGATTTTGTCTATTTGACATTGAAATCATACAGAATTGACTGATCAAGCCATAAGCTGGCAGCACAGAACACAGGCCCCTTCAGAATCCTAGAGAGGGTGGGCAACATCTATAGACTGGACCTCTCCACAATCATGAAAATTCATCCAATCTTCTCCTCAGACAAGCTGTGCAAAGATTCAAGAGACCCTCTACCAGGGACAAACTGTCAAATCATCAGATTCAATTAAGATAGATGGAGAAAATGAATGAGAAGTGGAGCATATATTAGCCAGTCAAATAAATTGAGGCAAACTGCAATATCAAGTCCACTGGAAGGGATTTGATGAGGACTCATCTTGGTACCCAGCTCATGACTTCAAAGGATCACCACACATCATACACAACTTCCATGAAGCTAACCCTACAAAAGCCAGACCCCCAAGGCGACTAGATGAGTGGCTGAAGGCATGGGAGACAGACAGCTACCTGAAGGACGAGGTTGATGATGACCTACCAGCATGAGGACATGCCTGTCCCTAGACTGGGGGGTGATGTTAGGCTCAGCGCCCGGCCGAGCCCGACCGAGGCTCAGTGCCCGGTTAGACTCGACGTCGGATTAAGCTCGGCGCCCAGTTAGGCCAAATATTCTCACGTGATCAAACGACCATGTGGGTGGTTATAACCCGGGCAGGCCCCAGCACCTCCTTTCATTCCATCAAGCTTAGTATTTCGTTATATAGCAGTTAGCAACGCAGAGAGTTTCCTTCTTATGCAGCTCGCATTCGCTCCCTAACATTAGCTATGCAACAGTAGATCTTCAAATCTAATATAATAGCTGCAGAATAAGCTCAATATAATATATATTCATGAAATTGTGATCAAATTCTTAGTACTTTTAAGCTATAACATTTTGTCTCTATACTTTTGCCTCTTTCTAATTCACTTAGAGGTCTCAAACTTTTCTATATTTCCTATTCCATGCAATTGCTGCTATCATATAGAGTGATTATAGTGTGTATATATAGTAGAGCATCTGCCCATCTTATTAGAAGAAAATCAGATATTATTTATTTTATTTATTCAATTACTTGTATACATCAAATTGATAGCATGTTCATCTCTATTTAAAAGATTCAAGATCTGCTAAGTCAATCAAAATTCAAGATACACATCAAATTAATTGAAGATCTGCTAAATCAGTCACTCTTATAATTGTTAGTTGCTTTAATTCATAATCACTAGTTCAATTACTGTAAAAAAAAAAAAAAGTATTAGCTGTGATATCATCCTCTGAGTCAGATCTCAATCATCTTCAAATAACTATCTTAACTGCCTTATAAAATGCCACACAGTAGCTTTAAAGATAAATGCTTTTGTCATTCAATTACTTTTGTCATTCTGATAGCTTTCAAATACTCAACAAGATTATAAAGTGCTAGATTAGCTGACAAGAAGCAAGGTGCTAATGAGAACACTCATCACAGCAGTTCTCATCAATACATGCAAGCATCTACAGAAAAATACATGATAGCAATTGCAGAAGTCTGAAGAAATAAAAACAGTCAATACACAGAATTATAATTGTTGGTCATTCTCTACAACTGTTTTAAAATAAAGAGAGTGCTATTTACTATCTCTGCAAAGCAATACAATGAGGTGAGTGCAACAATGCAGAAAACTTTAATAGCAGAATGAATGACTATTATTCACTGATGAATTCAGATGTTTAGAATAGAAGTCATTAAGTATGTCAGAGATTGAGAGTTTATCACTTCTGTCTTTACAGATTTTGATCACTCAGTTTTAAAAAATGATCACTGTAATAAGAAAGTGATACTGAATATCATAAAGAAGTTTGAAGAGCTTGACATACAGTTAAGAGAGTAGAAGAACAGATTGACAGATCTCAACATGCATTTAAAGAAGTAAGAGAACTGAATGATAGATTTGAAATCCCAGCTCTGTATTCACAAGTCTCTTCTCAATGAGTGAAAGAAGAAACTAATTACTTATGAGG